TCCCTGATGGATTAAAGTACCCTGGTCCTGCTCCTACATTTAAGAACATAAGAACATAAGAGACGCCAATGTTGGATCAGGCCAAAGGCCCATCCAGTCCAACACTCTGTGTCACACAGTGGCCAGAAATACCAGTGCCATCAGGAGGTCCAGCAGTGGGGCCAGGACATTAGAAGCCCTCCCACTGTTGACCCCCCCCCCAAGCACCAAGAAGACAGAGCATCACTTGCCCCAGAGCCCCTAGCTATACCTTGTGGCTAATAGCCACTGATGGACCTCTGCTCCATATGCTTATCTAATTCCCTTTTGAAGCCGTCCATGCTTGTAGCACCCACCACTTCCTGTGGCAGTGAATTCCATGTGTTAATCACTCTTTGGGTGAAGAAGTACTTCCTTTTATCCGTTCTAACCCGACCGCTCTGCAGTTTCATGGAGTGCCCACGAGTTCTTGTATTGTGAGAAAGGGAGAAAAGTACCTCTTTCTTTACCTGCTCTTTCCCATGCATAATCTTATAAACCTCGATCATGTCACCCCTCAGTCGTCTTTTCTCCAAGCTAAAGAGCCCTAAGCGCTTTAACCTTTCCTCATAGGGAAAGTGTTCCAACCCTTTTATCATTCGAGTTGCCCTTTTCTGCACTTTTTCCAAAGCTATAATATCCTTTTTAAGGTGTGGTGCCCAGAACTGCACACAGTATTCCAAATGAGGTCTCACCATTGATTTATATAGGGGCATTATTATATTGGCTGATCTGTTTTCAATACCCTTCCTAATAATCCCCAGCATAGCATTGGCCTTCTTTATTGCAGTCACACACTGTCTCGACATTTTCAGTGAGTTATCCACTACAACTCCAAGATCTCTCTCTTGCTCAGTCTCTGCCAGTTCAGACCCCATCAATGTGTATTTATATTTAGGATTTTTGGCTCCAATGTGCATCACCTTGCACTTGGCCACATTGAACCCCATTTGCCATGTTGACGCCCACTCGCCCATCCTTGACAGATCCCCTTGGAGTGCCTCACAATCCTCACTGGTTTTCACCACCCTGAACAACTTTGTATCATCCGCAAACTTAGCCACTTCACTGCTTACTCCCATCTCCAAATCATTAATGAACAAGTTAAAAAGCAGTGGACCAAGTACTGGTCCCTGCGGTACCCCACTGCTTACCACCCTCCACTGAGAAAATTGCCCATTTATACTCACTCTCTGTTTTCTATGAATTAGCCAGTTTTTGATACATAAAAGGACTTGTCCTTCTATCCCATGATTTTTGAGCTTACTTAGGAGCCTTTGATGAGGAACTTTATCAAAAGCTTTCTGGAAGTCAAGGTAAACAATATCTATTGGATCCCCCTTGTCTACATGTTTGTTCACCCCCTCAAAGAACACTAACAGGTTAGTGAGACAAGATCTTCCCTTACAGAAACCGTGCTGAGTCTGCCTCAATAGGTTTTGTTCATCTATGTGCCTACTAATTCTTTCCTTAATAATGGTTTCCACCAATTTACCCGGTATCGACGTCAGACTGACTGGCCTGTAATTTCCCGGATCTCCTCTGGAACCCTTTTTAAAGATGGGAGTGACATTAGCTACCTTCCAATCCTCAGGAATGGAGGCAGATTTTAAGGAAAGATTACATATCTTCAGAACTCTCGGATGTATGCCACCTGGGCCTGGTGATCTATTTGTGTACTCAGTTTTGTAGTGGGGAAATTCAGTTGTTTTTAAAACCCTGCAATTTGAATTGGACTATTGTAGCACATCTTCCTGTGGCAAGTATGCTGATTTCCCAAATATTTTCAGAGCAGTTCCATTATGAATGCACTCTACATGACTGTGACATGGAGCTATAAACAGACCTGGGCATTATTAGTACAGCATTTAAAGGTAGAACACATGAGTGGACATAGACTAGACATTTTGTAAACAAGAGAATGTGGTATTAGAAGTGGGGACATGCGGAAGGCTTGGGAGCACAGAGCCCATTACGGAAGTTATGCAAGTTTGTGTGTGTATACATATACATACACACACACACACACACACATATATGTGTGTATGTGTGTGTTTGTTTTTTTTGTTTGTATTTATACCCCGCCTTGCCTGACAAGCAGGCTCAAGGCGGCTAACACATTAAATAACATAACAGGAAGTTAAAACAATTAATAAATACAATATCAGTTAAAACAAGAAAACAACAACAATCACAATACCAACTATGGCGGTAATCCAATCCCTAGCTAGGGGTAGTAACCAGCGGGGACTCTAGCCAGGAGATGGTCTAAGTTCAGCCAGAAGATGTTCCAGAGCACACCACTCAGCGGCGGCCCCTAATCGAACGCCTGGCGGAAGAGCTCTGTTTTACAGGCCCTGCGGAACTGAGAGAGGTCGCACAGGGCCCTGATGTTCTCTGGGAGCTCATTCCACCAGTGTGGGGCCACCACCAAGAAAGCCCTGGTTCTGGTAGTATTTAGTCTGGCTTCTTTCGGACCAGGGAGGGTCAACCGGTGTTGCGACCCTGACCTCAGTGCTCTCTGGGGCTCGTATGGGGAGAGACGGTCCCTCAGGTAGGGAGGCCCCTGACTATATAGGGCTTTAAAGGTTAAAACCAGCACCTTGAACTGAACTCGGTATGCTATAGGCAGCCAGTGCAGTGTCCTCAGCACAGGCCAGATGTGGTCCCGTATGGAGAAGCCCATCAACAGCCGGGCTGCGGCATTCTGCACTAGCTGCAGCCTCCGGATCTGGGACAAAGGCAGCCCCATGTAGAGAGCGTTACAGTAGTCTAATCTCGAGGTGACCATCGCATGGATCACTGTTACAAGGTCGTTGCGTTCGAGGAAGGGAACCAACTGCCTGATCAGCTGTTGATGGTAAAAGGCCGCCTTGGCAGTGGCTACTACCTGGGCCTCCATTGTTAAAGAGGCATCCAGGAGCACTCCCAAACTCCTGACCCGCAGCGCTGGCACCAAAGGCGCCCCACCGAAGGTTGGGAGTGGGATCCCTACCCCCGATCCATTCCGACTCAAGCACAGAACCTCCGTCTTCGTTGGATTCAATTTCAGTCGACTCAGTCTAAGCCAGCCCGCCATGCCATGATGTGCCCGCTCCAGGTCATCTGGGCTGGAGTCAGACCGGCCGCCCAGCAACAGATACAGCTGGGTGTCATCAGCATACTGGTGACACCCCAGCCCATACCTCCGGGCAATCTGGGCGAGGGGGCACATGTAGATATTAAACAACATCGGAGACAGCATTGCCCCTTGCGGCACTTCACATACCAGTGGGTGCCTCTGGGACGTCTGCTCCCCTAGCGCCACCCTCTGTCCCTGACCCTGGAGAAAAGAGGCAAGCCATTGCAAGGCGAGCCCTTGGATTCCAGTGTCAGCGAGGCGGTGAATCAGTAACTGGTGGTCGACGGTGTCAAACGCCACTGACAGATCCAACAACACCAGTACCGCCGTACCACCTCGATCCAGATGCCTTCGGAGGTCGTCTGTGAGAGCGACCAGTGCCGTCTCCGTTCCACAACCCAGCCGGAAGCCAGACTGGAACGGGTCCAGCATGGAAGTGTCATCCATAAAGGCCTGCAGCTGAATCGCCGCCACTCTCTCCAATACTTTGCCCAAATGGGGCAAATTGGAAACCAGCCGATAGTTGGCCAATTCAGCCAGATTCAGTGATGGTTTTTTCAGGAGAGGGCAGACCATCACTTCCTTGAGTGCCCCTGGGAATAGCCCCTCCATGAAGGACTTGTTGATAATGTCCCTAAGGGCACCTCGTAGCCCCTCATGACCAGCTTTTATAAGCCATGAAGGGCATGAATCAAGGCTGCACGTGGTTGGGCATACAACTGAGAGCAATCTGTCGACTTCCTCAAGACTGAGTGGACTGAAATAATCCAGAATGGAAGTAGAAGACGTGCAAGGAGCCTCAAGTTCGCTCACTGTCTCAACTGTGGCTGGGAGGTCGCGGCGGAGCAGCAGGACTTTATCTGCAAAATAGCTCGCAAAAGCCTCACAGCCACTATCGAATTTCCTATCATTTGACCTGCTGTGTGGCAGCTCTGTTAAAGACTGAATAGTTGTAAATAACTGTGCCAGGCGTGAGCTAGCAGACACAACTGCGGCCACATAGAATTGTCTCTTTGCGGCGTTGATTGCCATCTTATAGGATCACATAAATGTCCTAGAGGATGCGTCTCGCTAGTCGTCTGAGCCCACGCTTCATTTGCCGCAGCTCCTCAGTGAACCAAGGAGCCCGCTTAGAGCGAGGGCGCAGAGGGCATCGGGGGGCGATCTCGTTGATGGCTGCCGAGAGCCGGCCATGCCAGTCCTCTTTGTCCAATTGTACTTAAGTTGTTCAATATAAGCAATTAGACTTAAGTTGAGGTAGTATTAATTACTTCAATATAAGCAATTAGACTTAAGTTGAGGTAGTATTAATTAATTATTAATCAATTAATTAATGCCGCGGTGGCTTAGAGGTTAAGATGCTGAAGCTGCAGACTGGAAGGTCTGTAGCTCGGCTGAGACCCGAGTGTGCTGCATGACGGAGTGAGCTCCTGTCTCTGGCCCCAGCTCCTGCCAACCTAGCAGTTCGAAAGCAACCTAGCAGTTCGAAAGCAAGAAAGGCCCCACTGGTGGACCTCCTGATGGCACTAGTATTTCTGGCCACTGCGTGACACAGAGTGTTGGACTGGATGGGCCTTGGGCCTGATCCAACATTGGCGTCTCTTATGTTAAAATGCAAGTAGATAAATAGGGACCGGTTCAGTAGGAAGGTAACAGCGTTCCGTGCACCTTGGTGTTTAGTCATGCTGGCCACATGATCATAGAAACATCTTCAGACAGCGCTGGCTCTTCGGCTTGGAAACGGAGATGAGTACCGCCCCCTGGAGTTGGATTTGACTGGCTTTCGAGCAAGGGAAACCTTTAGCTTTACCTTTTTAAATGTACACTGAGGTCTTAGGGATGCATGCTTCCCTTCACCTTAGCATCTGTTCTGGGAAAGTTTGTAAAATAAAGTAGATTATACACTATTTATAGAGCTGCATACTCAATAATGCACTTGCAAAGTGTTTCTCATGCATCCCTTAAACACTGGGAAGTGGTTCCATGGTTGGGGGTAGTTGTTACCAAAAATCCCATCCATTCTTATGGGTGCTTGCTCATCTGGATCATGAATTCATTGCTCCTAATTCTGTGTTGTGAATGACAGATGTCATGATCGTACTAACTTACATTATACTGGGGGACAGAATTATCTCAAACAAGATGTCTGTTGCCTAAAGGGAAAGAACAATGCAGTATATGTCTCCCACGCATAATGCCCACATACTCTCTATTTTCCCCTCAGTTTCAGCAATGTTTGAGTGAACTACAGGAGCTATTGCAGCAAAAAATCCAGAGGAAGCTCTCAGAGTTGGGTTGTGAACAAAACACAGAAGGTACCTGGAGTGACATCTCCCTATCGGATGTTGAATCCAGGTAACAGCAGCTCTGTAGGCCTTTCCTAACTGAAATCTTAGAAAATTCACTGGGAACTGTTGGCCCCTCCATCTCAGCAGACTGTAAGATAGCTGAGCCAGGAGACATCACATCATAATCTCCTTTAGTAGTTTGATTCAGAAGAGATTTAAAAAGAGACTGCAATCATAGTGCAACCGGGCAGTGGTCTTTCATTTTCTCTTCTTCCATCTGACAGAAGTATCTAACTGCTGGAGAACAGCCGCCTACCTTGCCCACTTACTGGCTTTCTTAATAGTCATCTGAGCCAAGCAAAGCTTCAAGGAAGTTAGTTATTACAGAGACTAAGAGTGAAACTACATGAACTACAATTAGTAATGTGTAGTGTCTGGAAGTAGTACTGAGGACATACCTCCACCTCCGACTGCCCCCCCCCCCACTAGGCATCCCCTTTCCAACTGACCACCACTCCCCCAGGCATTCCCCAGGCATTCCCCACCACTCCCACAACACCCATTGGCTGATAGAGAAGGAAAGAGGAGTTAGGGTTTGTTTGGGGCAGTAGCGTCGCCCTCAGAGGTGGTGTTTTGCGAGCCAGGGCAAAATGACAGCCTTTGTGGATTTTACAGGGAGCTTTGTACTTTTGGAAATGTGGTAGAAGCAGTGTGGGTTTCTTGCATGCTTGCTGCAAATGTGGTTTTGAAACATACCTACAGTTTTATTTAAAAGCGTGCCTTGGAGGCAGGGGGGTGGCAACAGGAGAAAATGGCTGAGGTGGTGTGTGCTTTGGTGGAACTTCAAACCAGGAGAGAATATTTTCTTTAAAAGCCTGTGTCCTGTCAGCTCTCTTCCTGGAAAGGCTGCCGGCTCCCCCAGCCCTCAGGGAGCTGGCACAGTGTTTTCAGTTAGAATAGCATTGCTTTAAAAGTGAAGCGCTGTGTGTAATGTTTATCTGCAATAGAAACTGCTTATGACAGATGTGATTAGTACACCAAGGCATGTTTTTAGTTGAGGGGGGACATGATTGCTGTCTTGAAGGATTCGGAGGGCTGTGTCCCTTAGCGGAGGAGGGCAGGGAGCTGTTCCTGTTGGCAGCAGAGGAGAGGACTCACAATCATGGGTTTAAATTAAGGGTGGGGAGGTACCGGCTGGATATCAGGAAAACCTTTTTGACAGTAAGAGTTGTGCCACAGTGGAATCGGCTGCCTCGGGAGGTGGTGCGCTCCCCCTCACTGCAGTCTTTAAGCAGTGGCTGGACAAACACTTGTCAGGGATATTGTAGGCTGATCCTGTGTTGAGCAGGGGGTTAGACTAGGTGGCTTGGATGGACCCTTCAACTCTGTGATTCTATGTATGCTAGAAAGTGATTTCTCCTGCATTTAGATTAATTCCATGCAAATTGAAAATACCTTGTTGACTGTCTTATCAAGGATTGAAAAGGGAACAGTAATTTTAAGTTCAGTAACGGTTGGTGTGAGGCTGCATAAAATTAAAAAAATTCACAAAGTTTTTTTGAGAAAAATAATAAACAGCAATACCCTATGTCTCTGCAGAAAAAATAAAACACTAAAACATGTCCAGGGGGCAGGAGTTCAGGGTTCAATTGATCAACATCTAAGGGGGGCTTGAAGATACCAAAAGAGTACTGCAGGATTAGGGTCGGAGGGGGAGGGGGAATAAAAAGTTCACCTGTTAACAGTTAACAGAATAGAGACCCGCACCCTTCTGTAGAAACTAAAAGATAAGCCACAGTGCAGTTCATAATTCTAAAACTTCAAAAGAAGTAAATGATTTTGAAAACTTCCTTTTGATCTGAGAAAGTAAATCTATATTTTCCCAGTCTGTGGCATTCAGCATGATTTTAGAGCCTTTGACCATGGCCAAAATATCTTAGTGGATAATGAGGAAAGTGCGTATGTAGGTAAGAGGGATACTGTGGAGTAATAAATCATGAAAGGTTCTGCTAGTAGTTATAGAGAGCCCACAGACTGAAGGCCAGGAGTTCAGTTGTGAACAGCACATATGAGTGGTGCTGGTCTAGTGTGGAGAGGTGTGAACAATGCATGTGAGTGGGTGCTGGTCTAGTGTGTCTTTCCAACAGGACTCCCAATGAGTCCTGTCTCACACCAATGTCTTGTCTTTTTCTCTTAATCAGCACAAGTGGCTCCAATAGCTCCCAGTCAGATGGCCCTCCTGCACATTTGCTCAACATGACAGAGAAGGTGAGAGCCATGTATTTTTGGTTAGTAGAACAGCTTGGAAAAATGAAATGGTGTGTTGCCCTAAAGCACTCGTATGGTCAGGGAATGGTTGCCTTGCCACAGAGCAAATGCTCTTTCTGTTAGTGGCATTAGTGATGCACTGCTAGATGAAAAAAATGTGGATCCTTCAAGGGAAAAAAATCCAGATAGGTGAATCTAATGTGTGCGGTTTTGTTTTGATTTTTTGTGATTTCCTTTCTTTTTATTATTTTTGTATTCTAATTAAGTCATCAGGAGACATGCCACTGGGATTACAAACTGTGCATGCATGAAGATGTAATACAAGTGGCAACTGAAGTTAACCATTGCATTGCCTGTTATAGTGGGAAAAACTTTTCAATAATTATATTGTTAAAACCAAATTGTAATTAGGCTGGGCATTGCTGTGTGGAGCAAAAGTAGCCTTGAAAGTGTTTGCCATTTTTGTTTGTTTATTTATGACAGGAGACTTCAGTGATATAGCAGGGAATGGTCTCAGCCCTTAAAAATGCTTTTAAAATGAAAAATATATATACCTGCATGTGGGGATGGGTTGAAGTTTTTTCTAACAATATAGTCTAGTAGGTTTTTTCTAACAATATAGTCTAGTAGGTGCCTCTGACATACACAGCTCATTCCACACGACAGTTGTGAAAGTAACTGGAGGATGAATTGCATTTTCTTGCCAACAAAATATAGTTTTAGTGCTGGCAAATGCATCAGTAGCGGAAGTGCTATCTTAGTGAAGGTATTGAGCTTGCCTTCAACAAATGTCAAATCATTATGCTACTGTGCCCCCCCCCCCCAAAAAAAAAGACAAATTGTATAATTCCTAAGACGGGTATTCTATCCACAGCAGGATAGCAGATCTGCTGCAACAGCAGGCCAAGAAACCTATCTCTGCATCTAAGGACTATGGAGTAAAAACATAGCAAACACTGGGTTGTATCTAGCCAGGATTTCCACTGATGAAAAAGGGAGGAGGGAGTCCCATTTGCCTTCAGTAAGTAAAGTATGCTGGAGATCATGGGACCTGCATGGAGAGGGGCTGTAATAAGGAAGGGGATTTGGTGAGATTGGGCAAAAAACTGGTGGAAATCCAGCCCATAAGGTCATCATTTTGTTGTTGTTCAGTCGCACAGTTGAGTCCGACTCTTTGCGACCCCATGGACCAGATCACGCCAGGCCTTCCGGTCTTCCGCCGTCCTCTGAAGTTTCCTCAACTTCATGTTCCTTGCATCGATGACACTGTCTAACCATCTCATCCTTTGCTGTCCCCGTCTTCTTTGACCTTCAGTCTTTCCCAGCATCAGGGTCTTCTCCAGGGAGTGCTCCCTTCTCATTGGGTGGCCAAAGTATTTGAGCTTCAGCTTCATTATTCATAAGGTCATCATACCTCACAGCAATTTCAATAGGACCTCAGTCATTTCATATCTGTAGAATCTAGGAACACTTAGATGTCTGAAACATTACAATCAAATATGTAAATGGCTGTATTTTTTTAATTCTCTGGAGGACTACAATGAGAAGAAGAATAAGAAGAAAAAGAAACATCTGCGGACAAGAAAGGAAAGAAATGATTTGCATCAAAAATATGCTCTGAGCCGTACATTAAAGCACCAGGAAGATGTAGTGGTAAGAGGCAAGTCAAATCATGCCAGATAATTTATCTGGGGTTGTGGAGTCAATGCCACCAGCCAGCTAGAAATGTTTCTCAGTGGAACGTGGACTAGCTATTGGTATACTGCATTAGTTTTCTGTCTAGTGAACGTTCTGTTTATGACTACATGGAGGGATTATTAGCGTGTTCTACATGAACAATGCTTGTTTCATTTCCGTCTGCCCTTTATTTTTACAGCACATATGTACTGTGTCCTGCTCTTCAACTTGTGATTTTAAAAAAATAACACTGAATTTGCCCAATTTCAACTGTGCACCCTGGATCAATAACTTTGTAATATGCAAAAAAGAATAGCCAGGGCTGTGTAAGGTCAGAAACAACTTCTGTCTCCTGCTCCAAAAATCAACTGGAAGAAACCAGAAAGATGTCTATGGGGGTTGGTACAAAAACAACTTTAAAAGATGGCATTTTTTAAAAGTCTGTATAAATCAGGGGAGTGATGAGGCAGTGGCTGGAAGAAGGATTGTGCTGTCAGCTTTCCAAAGGACGCAGAGGAAAGTTAATACCTCTTAATATAGACAGGAAGAAGAACACATAGTGCCTTTTATCAGCTTTGGCTGTTAGGGTCTGATTCCATCCACATTCAGTTACTGTAATGTGTTGTATGTGGGACTACCTTTGAAACAGTCTGGAAACTTCAGCTCATCCAAAATGCAGCAGCCAGGCTATTGCCAGAGATAGAACACAGAGATTGTATCACCCCAGTACTGAAAGATCTATGCTGGTTGCCCACGTGTTTCTGGGCATAGTTCAAAGTGCTGGTTCTTTATCGTTAAATCCCCAAATGGCCTGGGGCCAGAGGACTTGAAGAACTGCCTCCTTTCATATTGTCCAGCCTGCCAGTTAAGTCCTGCTCTTTGTGCCCCTGCCTTCAGAGGCGAGGCAGGTGGCAGTCAGAAACAGGGCTTTTCCAGCAGTGGCACCTTGCCTATGGAGAAACCTCCTGAGACTCTCCTAGTGCCTTCGTTGCTTTATGTGCCAGGCCAAAACATTTCTCTTCACCCAGGATTTTAATTAAGCTGTTGGTCTTTTAAAGTTATTTTAGACTGGAAACTCTTACTTTAAGTTGTCCATGGCCTGTGTTTTTATGCTGGGCTGTACCTAGGGTGGCCAGCCGCCAGGTGGTGGCTGGAGACCTTCTGGGATGACAACTGATCTCCAGGTGACAGAGGCCAGTTTCCCTGGGAGACACTCTGGCCGCTTTGGAAGGTGGACTCCGTGGCATGGTACTCCACTGAGGTTCCTCCCCTCCTCAGGGTCCACCCCCAGAATCTCCAGGCATTTCCCAACCTAATCTGGCAACCCTAGCTGGGCTTTTAATGCTGGGTTTTAAGGAGTTTATTTATTTATTTATTTTTATCTGGCCCTAAGTGGGCTCAGGGTGGCTCAAAACATGCAAGTATAACAATTTAAAGAATCAAAGCATAGTATAATAAAAGATTAATGTTTTGCTTTTATTATTTTTATTTTGTAAGCTGCCTCAGGCAGGTTCCTGGGTAGGTGGCATAACATTTTTCTAAACAAATAAAAATTAGTGACATGGTGAGGTCCAGGCTGCAATTATTGCATGTGTTTTTCCCAGTGTGACAGATCGAATTAAAATGCACTGATGTTGGACGTTCCTTTAGTCTAAGCTAAGGAACGGTTATGAGTACAAGAAAGAAGGTGCGGCACCAGACATTTACCTAGGAAGGACACGGTTGCTGTCTGTAATAATTTTGGGTAATGCTTGGTGGTAGATTCTTGAAAGGGATCACTCTTCCCTCAAAGAAAATGAAAAGTTAAAATAAAGGTTCATGAAAATAATGAGTATTGTGGTGGAGTAACTGGTGGCCTTCCAGTGTTTGCCACTTATTCTTATATTTAAAAGATTACATGAATACTTCTTTGCTGAGGTGCTGCAGTATGACAGCATTTAGCCCTGAAACAGAGAGAGAGAGAGAATAAATGATACATTTTAAAAGCTCACAGAATTGAATAGCAATGGGTGAGATTTTGTCACATCAACAGAAGTAACTTGCAGCGCAGTGGTCAGATGGTGGACAAGGATCTGGGGACCCAGGTTCCAATCCCTACCGCCATGGAGCCTGCTCACTGCGTGATCTTAGGCCAATCATTCTCCCTCAGCCTAACACTGCAAAGAAGGGTTGTTGTGAGGATAAAGTGAAAGACAAGAGAACAGTGTTGTGAGCTGCGTCAGGTCCTCACTGAGGAGAAAAGTAGAAGATAGACATCCAAATGCCACAGGTGCCATCCAACACTGGTCCTTGCACTATCACTGGTCTTTTGTCCATTCACTCTCCAGCACCCATTTTAGCTGATCCGTGGACTGCTCTACGGCTAATCACACTCTCTTTAGACAGTGGAAGTTTATTGAGTTATATGCAAGATCCAGAAAGTCACTTATGTCAGAACTGAAGTCTTTTGGCAAGTACAATCTTATTATAGAAAATTCAAGCAGGTCTCATCCATCCCCCAAGCATACGTCACAGTCATACTCCGGCCTAACATTGCCATGCCAACCAGGAGAGATCTTGAGTCTGAGATGGCACAGGAATGTGTTCAAGGCCACCTTCCCCTGGGAAAGCGAAAGGGGAGGGGAAGGAGGATGACTTGTGGGAAAGTTACATCTTCTGAAAGCAAAGGTCTCATTCACTCCTGCACACACTCACCCCCGCCCTCAGGAATTTCCCCCCCAGGAATTATGGTAGCAGGGTTTGACAATATTTTGGTTCCAGGGGTGGGTTGCTGCTCTCTGTTAAGAGACCTTACTCAGCTTACTCTCTTTATTAAATTCTTCTAGGCAAACCCAATTTCTCCATGTCTTGGGAACCTTCATAGTCTTTCCAAGAGATCAAGGAGAGACAGCAGTTCAGAAAAGAAGAACAAGCAGATTAGTCAAGTAATACGTTCATGTCAGGTTAGTTTGTAGATTATTATTTTCTGTTACTGTTCACTATATGTTCACTGTTTAAATGGAAGTCTAAGAGAGAGTAAGTACTGCAACTTCAATTCATCCAGGACAAATACTCTTAAGAAGCTTGATAAGATGAATCAAGAAATATTTCTGGAATATACATGTGAAAGATACTTCAGGTAATGATGGAAGAGCCATAGTAGTGAATCTTGAAGTTAATCCCCTTTGAGCATTTAGGTTGTGAAGTGGAGTATACGGAGTCCTGGCACAGCAAGGGGAAATGCTAAACTAAACATCTATTCAAAACTCTTCTTAAAAGAATTTTATTTTGCCAGTGAATTTAATAGAAAAGATAAAAATTTTCAAAGCTTACATGACAATGAAACATTACTATGAAAAATATAACAATACAGTTTTTCTCAGGTATCACAAGGAGACAAAGAAATTTCACACAGAGCTGTTTGAACCAAGGGCTCTTTTAATGTTGCTAAAGAAAGCATAATTAGTAAAAATATATGAAGTAAGGTAATGTTCTTGAGAAATCCTGATATTATATACAAGCACAGTTTGCATCCACGTCATGAATAAAAAAGCCACTGTCAGACCACTATCAGACACAAATGTGGATAATCAGGATGCAGTAAGTTCTGGGTATCTGAAGGGCTTGAAGATGCATCAAGGCATTTTGACATGTGCAAAACATCCCCCCCCCCAAGAGAAAATATTAATTTAGACACATATGTTAGAGGCAGCACCTATTACCAGATATAGTCTGTACTTACTCAGGTATATGGTGCAGTTTCCTGACAAATGCATGAACTATCCAGCAGGCCTTGTGGTGGTGGTGGAATGTCTGTTCTATAGAAACATTTGAGTATCTTCAAGGCAACCCTCCTCCTCAAAGATAACCTGAAATACTCTGGAACAGGACTACTGCTAGATGAGACTAGTAGCTGCATCTTGTTGGGAAAAGGAGAGATGCAGTGATATCAAGGTGAAGGAAAAGGACTATGTTGTGGCCATTCTGAGCAGTTTCATGCTGTTTGAGGAGCTGTGCACCTTTACACAGCTCCTACTGGGATCTTGATTTGTGATTTTCCAACACATAACATCAACACCAACATCCTTTCCATGACCTCTCCCTAAAGGTATTTTATTTTCTTTATTGAAGGTGGACACTTCCTGTACTTTCTTGTATACATTCCTAAATTTTTGTCCTGGCTAGGTTTCTTTTGCTGGACCATAAATATTCAAATTTATAAACAGAGTTCAGTGCTAATCTATTTTAGATACTGTATATGGCTTTTCATAGAAAGCCGGTGACTGAATCAGCTGTTTCTGTCCAGGAGAACATTGACCCATCCATGCAGGAAATTTATCATGGCTTTCATCAGGCACTGAGGACCAATGCAGTACATTGAAGGATTGAAATGTCACTATTGAAGGCAGGTGTTCCCAAAACTTGCGAAAGTTACAATCTTTACATAGTCAAAAAAAGGCGTTTACCTCTAACAAGTCACAACTTGTACTTGGAGAACAAGTGATGTACATAGGTATATCAACAAAGAAGGCAAGGAATGTAAAAGACTAATTTATTCATTATGTTTTTTTAATAAAAGGAGAAGGATATAGAGGATTCATTGTCTTCATTAATGCAAGCAGAAAACCCAGGTACAGTTCGAATGGTATCCAGGTCTGAAATGTTTTAACTTCACATTATACAAAATTGCTTTGTTTTTATGTATACATATTGTCAGTTTTTCTGTGTATGTATTGTCAGTGAAGGACTAACAGAAGCTATTTAAATATTGCACCATCTGCATGCAAGCAATAATATAATCTTAGCAACTTAATCCTCACCATTGTCATTGGACCATGGATCTACTGATTGCTCATTTCATGGGTTTGATCCACTGATAATTTATACAAATATGTTTCATTTAAAATACATTCAAATAGCAGAATATAGGTTTTCTGGTTGCTAAAGAAAACATTTTATATCCATCTGGCTCTTTGTTGTCTCTGTGCTGTCCCACATATGGAGTTCTCTGCTGGCAAAGAAGCCATTCCAGAAAGTTCTCAAACTCTGGCCCAGAAATTGGCACTCATATCTCCTCCCCCCAGGACAGTTTTGCCTCTCTGTGTATGCCTCAAAGGTAGAGGTGAGCACCATCCAACTCAGTCCTCTTCTAACCATCTGCACGTTCTTCTTTAGGATAAGTTCCTGGTGCCTTCCATAGTGCACTTGGCAAGATGCATTCTGGTACATCTCTCAGGACCTCATTCCCCGATTTCATTAGTCTCTGGAGCTGGAGGTCTTAATAAAGCAGTTGTCTCTCCATCTTTGGCTGCAACTTCACAAGTTGACTTAGAGCAGGAGTGTCCTAAACTAGTCTGTAGGCACCTTTGGAACTTTGACACAGCATGGTGAGTGTAGCCACAAAATAGCTGCCACAATATTGCTGCCTCAGGAGGCAGAGCCAGCCATAAAATGGTGGCAGATGCTGCAAAAGTAATGTTTTAAAAAATCTGCACAGCCAGTCAAATTTCCAATGGGTAGACAAAGATCATCCGTTTATAAGGACAAAGTCTGTGATAATCATCAGCTGTATTATATTTGCAGTGATTGGCATTAGACTTATGATACAGAGGGCTGATGAAATGGGGCACATCACAGTACCTCACCATGTTTGTGGAGGGATGAGACAAGCATCAATCACATCATGATGAACACTGGAGTGCGGCTGTTAGGTTACCTGCAGCCCAGTCCTCACCATATTGTAACTGTTAGAGTTATAAAAAGCAGCCGTGCAACAGACATATGATTTGATGCACTGGCTGTGCACTTACTATCACAGTATCCGTTCTGCCTACTCAACCATTACTGTCTCCAGTCTCTCGTGCATCTTGTCAACCCTGACTACTACAGAGACTGGGGTCAAGTCTGATGTTTCCTCTTTATCACCGATGGCATTGCTGTCCACTTTGCCACCCATGTTGTTCCAACTCACACTTTAGGGATCAAGATCACTCTGCTTCTGCAATATCTGCCTGAGGAGACGTTTCCTATATCCTTGGCTCTGTGTCAGCATGCTTGGTTGTACTCCCATCTCTCTCACTCCAGACACTCAAACAGGCACCAAAGATCTCCCCTTCCATAAGGTCCTAGAGCAATGATCTTCCACCCGTGGGTCAGGACCCTCAGGTGGGTCATGAAACTTTATAGCAGAGTTTCTTTTTGTGTTGCTTTTTGAAGGACTTGCTGGTAGTGCACATGCATAAATAGCAAGTGTACCTAGAGATGTGAAGGCCCGAAAAAATTCGGTGGGAAATGGTTTTTTCCCGTTTTTTTCCTGAAGCCTTTTTTGTTTTTTTCCGAAAAATTGGAAAAATTGAAAAAAGAAAAGAAAAAAATTGATTATGGAACGTTTTATTTTAACATGATGAATAAAATATTTTAAGACAAGGTGTTCAAATATTTTCCAAATCATTTCTAAAATATGTATATATGGTATCAGATTGATCTAATTTCTGTGCACTGAGGACAAGCAAGTCCTAGGTTACAAACTGAACTCTCCAATGCAAGAACAAGATGCATTTCTTCCTTTAGGAGGTGCTATTGTCAGAAGAAAATAAAAAGGTTTCAGTTTTGTTTTTGCATGTGGGTGGGTATTCTGTTTGTAATAATTGTTTGGATACACTATATTTTTAATATGCTAGTTGTGATAATTTCATGCCAAGTAAAAATGTCCATAGTCATATTTTATGTTCCTAAAGTAACAGAATGACTTTCAATCTGGAAAAGACAAAAGAAATGCTAATGTTGCATTTTTTTCAATTTTTCTGAAAATTTCCATTTCCCCCCCCAAAAAAAACATTGGGGGAAAATGGGTTTTTTTTCCAAGCATCAAAATTTCCAGAAATGTTACATCTCTAAGTATACCATACCACTTGCCTCTTTTTGTATATCTGTTGAGAGGAGCTGCATGACAGCTAGGTGAGGTTATGCAGTAGTGGAGACGATTCCTTTTGAGCATAGGCAGATTGCAAAATCTCCCTCCCTGCAAAAACTTTCTCTTGTGTAGTTTGGCCCAGCTACACTCCACCCCTGCACAGAGTCACCACTTCCCAGGGAAGCTCTCCTTTGCTTTCTCCTGCCTTAATGATCACCCCTTCAGTCAGTCAGTCCTTCACTGATCTGCACATACATGCAGAGATCCTTCTCCCTGAGCATAGATCCAGGGGAGTCCCTGCTCCCTGACGAAGCTGATCTTTCACAGGTAGAGGAACTCTGCACTGCAAGTGTTGGCAAGGGGCATTGGATGATGGGTCTGGATGGGTAACTAGGCAAGGCTGGGCTGCATGGGGAGAAGAAGAGAGACTACAAAGGGGAGCTTTCGTGGGGGGGAGTGGCTCCTCCCTCTGGCATACTAATAAGGTAAAGGAGCCACTGCCATGAACTTCGCAAGCACGTCAGATGAGAACTATCGCTGCATCCTCCTACCATTTTAAATGTATGCTTCTTGAGGAGACAAGGGCGACCACCCCTGCCTCCATTTTCCACTCTACACTTGATAGCAGGGAGTGACAGGATGCAGGATTTGTCAGGCTGTATTATATCCTCTTTCTCCTTGAGAAGGTTCCACTACCCGCCTCCAGGTAGGCCAGCTTGATTATTTCTAATATGTGGGACAGTACAGAGACCATGAAGAAGAAAAACTTTCTTGTAACTAATGTCCTTCAAGTTGTCATGTGTGCTGTCACATAATTTGCCCTCTTTCTTCAGCATGAGAGCCAGCATGGTGTAGTGGTTAAGAATGGTGGACTCTAATCTGGAGAACCAGGTTTGATTCCCCACTCCTCCCCATGAAACCTGCTGGGTGACCTTGGGCCAGTCACTGTTCTCTCAGAACTTTCTCAGCCCCACTTACCTCACAAGGTGCCCGTTGTGGGGATAGGAAGGGAAAGCGATTGTAAGACACTTTGAGACTCCTTAGTGTAGAGGAAAGCAGAGTATAAAAACCAACTCTTCTTCCACTCCTGCCCTCTCAGTTCTCACATTGCTGGGTAATCCGAACAAACTGAGCAGAATGGCACTCACAGAGCAGAAACTAAGAGGCAAAGTTCTCTCTTGGAGGGAATTTGAATGCCAGTTTCTGGGCTAGAAACTGTAGAACTTTCCAGAGTTGCATCTGCACCAGTGTTCCCTCTAAGCTGTGTAGTGTTGTGAGCAAAAATTCAGTTTTGTGAGCCAAAAGGTCTTCTACCATTATAGTTGTGAGTGAGCCTACATTTGACTACATTTGGAGTCCACTCTCCAAAGAAGCCATTTTCCCCCATCCCCCATTAAAGCTACCCCAAAATTGCAGAGAGTCATCATTTGCACCCAGGCATCAAACATAACCACATGATATACTGTGACAAAAAATTATGCTTTGTGTTGAAATTATATCTGAACACAGAGGGTGCAATTGGGATTTTGATTTTTAAAAGTAGCAGATAGGGTTGCCAGGTGCCCTTGTTGCTCTGGTGGGGGGATTGGGGGGGGCATTCAGGGGTGGGAGGGGACATTGTGTGATGTCCCTGATGCAATGACTTCACCCAGAAGTAATGTCATCATGTCAGGGACGTTGCGTAGGGACACTCTGGTGTTTGGGTGAAATTCTATGGTTTTTTCGCCCTCAAACCACAGAGTTTGCCCAAATACTAGAGCGTCCTCATGTGATATCCGCAATGCAATGACGTCACTTCTGGGTGACATCGTCACATTGGGGGCATCGTATGGTGATGTCCCTGTTTAGGGGTGGGGTTCCCCCACCAGCCAGCTGGTCCACAGTGGGGAGAAGCCCTTGAAACCAAGGGATCCCCCGCCCAGACCTGGGGGCTGGCAAGCCTAGTAGCAGAAAAATCTAACTGATGCATTCTAGTCAGCAAACTGCTATATCCTTTACATATTTTCATGTTTTTCTGGGTGGTGGTGGAATCCTGTACTGTTCAGTTGTCACATGGTAAAAAGACACAGGGAAGCAGCTCCCATGTTCAGGTATGACATAAGCATTTACCTATAGCTGCAGTGGCTCAAGTGGTTAAGACACTGAACTGCAGGCTGTGGAAGGTCAGTAGTTCAGCAGTTCGAGACCCGGGTGCTGCAAGACGGAGTGAGCTCCCGTCTCTAGTTCCAGCTCCTGCCAACCTAGCAGTTCGAAAGCAAGAAATTGCAAGTAGATAAATAGGTACCACTTTGGTGGGAAGGTAACAGCGTTCCGTGCGCCTTGTTGTTTAGTCATGCCGGCCACATGACCACGGAAACGTCTTCGGACAGTGCTGGCTCTTTGGCTTTGAAACGGAGATGAGCACCGCAACCCTAGAGTCGGATTCGACTGGCTTTCGAGCAAGGGAACCTTTACCTTTACCTATAGAACCTTTAATGGGTTGGGCCATATCTAACTTTGAGAGTGAACTTTTCATTGGCTCAGTTCAGATCCAAAACCGTGGTTAGCTTATGAAACAGCATTTGGCCTACAGATCGTCACCCAGATCCTGGTTTGCCTTAATAAATGGTGATTTCACCACCTTTGATCTGGCCATGCGTGTCTATATTCAGGAATGAGTAAAAGCAGTGCTAAGAAACCAGCCAGGGTTATGTCAGCATGTCTTCATTCATACATTGCACAGAACCATAGCTAAGACTAACTTTGGTTTAGTTATCCAACTTGAAACTATGGTTTCAGATCCTGGTTTGAGGGACCGAATTAACCTGCAAAGTGGCCTGCATTCACTTAGACAAAGTTTAATTAAATTATGGCCTCATGTTATGTTTGAACTGAGCCACAGCGGTTTTGAAGGACATTGCAAAATACTTCTAAATTCATGCTCCAATGGCGGAATCTGACAGAAAATATCTCCTGCATGAGCCCATCAGGAATTAAGCAGAAAGGTATAGAGGAATCTTTGTACATCTCCTGCCCCTTCTGAAATGACCACCTCAGGGGGACATCCTAGTGGATTGTACCAAGTCTGCACCACAGAAGTCTGCTCGCATACTTGGTGACTGTCCTACAGCTCTGGAAGTCACTTTTACAGTTTCACCAAAGTTCAAGCCTTAAAATTTTACATAAGTGCTTTAAATCCTTGTTTGGGATGGCATTTAATGGCTGACTTCTATACAGTATTGTAATATTTTATATAGCTATTTTATTTTTAGATAGATATAATTATTTTAATCCTGCACAAAGCCCTCTGGAGGGGGTTCATTAAAAACTGGATTTAAAAAGCTTTCGTAAAAATGTCAAAATACTATAGAGATAGAATTAATTATATAGTAGTTTACATAAACAGTCAAAATTCATCTTGGTGCAGGGCTTGGTGAAAAATATATGTTCTTGGTCAAAACTGAAAGGGAAATAAAAAGCTATTATGTATTTATATATATTTTTAAAAGATTTATATCTTTCAACCAGAAGGTTTCTGAATGAGCAATCCTAAGCCAGTCAACTCAAAGTGTCCTGTTTTATTCAACCTCCCAGCAAAGTATTTTTAGGATTGCAGCCTGAGATGGTTAGTATTGTTGCCTTCATTGCTATTGGGAAAATGCAGCACCAGTATAGCACCAGTATAACTAGCCCAAAGCTCAGTTGTCTGATCTGGACCCAACAACTTCCCCCTTATTTTGAAAAAAAGCGGGACAGGGTAAAAGCCGGAACAGCCTGGAACAGGCCGGAGCGGGCATTAAACAAAAAACACTGGGATTCATTACTCCAGAACAATAATCTAGAAGTGAAAACATGGAACTGTAACACTTTTATTAACCCTTTCCAGGAAAGAAAGCCCCTGGAACATGCTGAAAGGTGCCAGAACGGACATTAAACAAAAAATAGAACTGGCTCGTTCCACAGTGTTCCGGAGGGATTTTGTCCAGGAAAGAGTTAATAGAAGTGTGAGAGTTCCGTGTTTTCACTTCTAAAATATGGTTCTGGAGAGTCTATAATGCATCCCAGTGCTTTTCACGGTACTATTATTTGTTTAATGCCCATTCCAGCCCATTTCAGGGTGTTCCCCAGGGATTTTGGCCTGGAAAGGGTTAATAAAATTGTTACAGTTCTGTGTTTTCCCTTCTAGAATATTGTTCTGGGGTGCCTGTAATGCACCCCAGTGCTTTTTCTGGTACTATTGTTTGTCTCATGCCTGTTCTGGCCAATTTCAGGGTGTTCTGGAGGGAAAGGGTTAATTAGGGTTGCCAGGTCTAGGTTGGAAAATATCTGGAGACTTTGGGGGTGGATCCGGGAGAGGGCAGGGTTTGAGGAGGGGAGAGGCCTCAGCATGGCCCAATGCCATAGAGTCCACCCTTCAAAGCAGCCATTTTCTCCAGGGGAGCTGATCCCTGTCAGCTGGAGATCAGTTGTAAAAGCAGAAGATCCCCAGGCCCCACCTGGAGGCTGGCAACCCTAGGGTTAATAAAGGTGCGAGAGTTCTGTGCTTTCACTTCTTGAATATTGTTTTGGAATGTCTGTAATGCATCCCTGTGTTTTTTGTGGTCCTATTTTTTGTTTAATGCCTGTCCCGGCCCGTTCTGGGCTGTTCCGGCTTTTACCGCCCCCCCAAAAGCTGCTTTTTCTCACCCCATGTGCGAGGGGAGGGGAGGGGAGGGGACAGGTAGTGACTGTCGTGGAGGCGCCAGAAGCAAAGCGAGCAGGGAGGGGGAGAGAGGAAAGCGAGCTGTGGTCTGCCTTGGCCCCTCCTGCCCTCAAAGCAGCACAGCCACCAAGCAAGCAAAGCTCACCCTCAGAGGAGGCACAAACTGGGGCGGGCAATGAACCCTACGAGCCCTGCGCTGAGACAAAAATTGTTCTGGTGCCAAGGACTAAAAAGGTATGTGCTAGCGCAGGCTAGTGCAGCTTAGTGTGAACTCTGATCTGCACCAGTGTGATTGCACGGATGACCACTCAAAGAACATCAGTTACAGGTAAGCAACATGTTCTTTTCCCCCTAGAGCCTCCCTTAGGTAACCAGATTGTCCCTGTAGTTCAGTGTGACCTCAAGACCCAGGATCCTCAGCCCCTCATCGTAACCATGATTCCACCAACACGAGCACAACGATCAAGCCTCATAAACTCACCCATCAAACAGCATCCACCCCCCTTCCATGGACAACTCAAAGGAGAATTCCCTGAGAAACAAAATGAAGGTATGGGACAGCCATGTAAGCTAAGAAGACTGGGAAAGCTTGCTGTGGGATGGCATGGCATACTCCCTCTAAGCTGTGGAGCCTTGTGAGCAAAAATTCTACTTTGTGAGCTACTGGCACTAAAGTTGTGAGTGAGCGATTTGGCTGCTGCATCAATTAGTTTGCTCTGGAGCCCTCCTTCTTGAGCTAAGAAAAATGTGTGAGCCGGAGGCTAAAAAACTGAGCTAGCTCACACTAACTCAGCTTAGAGGGAACACTGCATGGGAGGTGAGCATTAGGAGTTAATGAATTCTGGCAAATCAAGAAGATAAAATGTGGTGTGAAATCGGACAGAATTCTAGATATTTATTCTCCATCTTCAGAATGTTAGTCTTGTTCCTCACAAAACTACATGGGGAATCTCTCATTTCACTCTAATAGGGAGAGCCAGCCATAAATGTATAGTTGATGATTATTTTGCATTTATGGTTATTAATTATCTTTGTTTTCCCTTCTCTACAGGCCCCTCTGTTTCATCATTCTTTCCACCTGCTCTTAGAATCAGACGGTACAGGTACTGTATCAGTCTTCCTCACCGGCACCATAACAGCTAATGAAATGGTACTGGTCTCATTTTTAGGCTTGAGGCCCTTTTGCACCTCATGCTCTTTTGGGTCCCCAACATGGTGCCCACCGGCACCTCTCCCGGGGCTCCTGCTTTTAGAAAGTGGGTGGGGCCAGGGGAGGCTTTTGTCCAGCAAGGCTTCTGATTGGCCATTGGAGATTGGATTGACAGTGCAGATTTTTAAAAATGTTTCTTTGGCACACAAGGATCCTCACTGTGCGACTGAACGAAGCTGTAGTAGCCGTGTTGTGGCTGGGTGCAGCTCCTGTCCCTTTGTCGCTGTGCCGGCGATGCTGTGTCAGAATTCCAAAGGTGCCCATGGGTTCTAAAGTTGGGGACTCCTGGTCTGTGGATATTTGGAGTGAATAAAAAACTATGGACCAATTTAAGATTTTAAAACTGTCACTTGAAAAAGACTGGAAGTGTCAATCAGAAATGAGGATATTTGCCATTATAATGGAACTGCACTCATGTTCAAGTGTACTGGTCTCAAACTGTGACTGTGCAAATTATTGGTGGGATTTGATTGACATCTGATCTTTTAGCATTCATTCCAAAGTATTTAGATGAAGATTTTCAACCAGTAATTACTGTTGTAAATCTGTCAATTACACAAAGAGTATTTGAGCAGATCATTGGAATAAATCTACCACACTACCACTGTGGAAACGGCTTCCCACAGCATTTGATCTAATCGAAATGAACACTTCAAATAATGTAAATATTGTGGATAAATTGAGTTCCTTTCATCTGTTTTTGGGATTCTGGGCATATAAATATTCCATGTTAAAGGTACCTTTTTGATAATGCATTTTAATTATTCATAACACATATTAAAATACATATAAGGGTTTTTTTCACATCACAGTGAATGATGAATCTCCAAGGAGGAAAAAATTGTTCCTTGTCATGGCTTCTGTGCACACTAGACGTGTGTGTGTGTGTGTGCAGGCCAGCTGCAGAAAATATTTCCAAAACTTTCTAGAAGACTAGGATTGTCCCTCCTCCCTCTGGCACTTTCCTGCCAAAACCATCCCATGACCAGGAGGAGACCTCTTCCCGTTCTCTTTTTGCCACTGCAAATAAAGCATCTCCAATGCTGTTCTCCATTGTTTCTTCATTGTTCACTCACCTCATTCTCGAGGCTGAGGAGACTTGTTTATCTCAGAAGAAAAGTTTCCGGCTTTCCATTTTGTCATTACGGCTCAAAAAGGGGCCTTCTCATGATTGTGCCAACTGTGGCTTTAAAAGGGTGCCGATAAACACCCATTCTTTGTGTCTTATCTGCCTGGGGGGGGTCAAAAGACAGAGCTGCCTGCTCTTCCTATCACCAATTTACCCCGAAGGCATGATTTGACACCCGTCTAGCCTCAGCCAGGGCCAGGGCTTCTCCAGCCCTTGCCCCAGCCTTGTGGAATGAGCTCCCAGAGGAGATCAGGGCCCTGTGGGACCTTTTACGGTTCTGCAGGGCCTGTAAGAAGAATCTCTTCCGCCAGGCTTTTGGACGAGGCAGCGGACAGCAAGTGTCATTGGGCCCCTCCTGCTACCATCTTGTCACCATTCTGCTACCCTTCCATCACCATCTGCTGCCATCGGTTATGGCCTCCATTTTCGAGGACTCAGAATAACAACCCGCCTTGGTTTAACTGAGGTAGGATATTTACCATCTCAAATCCCTTCTGGGGTTCAGTCCTCTCTGCTTTTAATTGACTGATATTGGGGCACCATAAAAAATGGTTGTGAAGTAGTTTGATCGCCATTGTTTAAGTTCTATCGTTCTAAATGTCTCTGATTTTATTGTCCTGTAATTAATGCTTGTAACCCAACCTGAGCCCGTTCACGGGAAGGGCGGGATAGGAATTGAACCAAATAAATAAAATAAATAAAAAGGGCTCTTTTAAGAAAGGCTTTGGCTGAGTGGCAACCTGAATAAAAGGCACCTTCCGCCTCCCTGCTGAGGTATGGTCTGTCAGTTCCTTGGATTCACCAACTTTTTTCAGAGGCTCTGGCTGCACGCCAGTCTGAATAAAGGTACCTTCCCCTTCCTTGGTTGTGCCAGTTCTGAGGGGAGAAATGCAGAGGTGTTGCCTGGTAGAGCCTCAGATTCAGAATGGCTCTTTTCTAAGGTTTTGCCAGCAGCCTGCCTATCTGAAGGAATCCCTCCCCTTTCCTTGCTGCCCTTGGTTCCACATGAGCCCTCAGTTCCAACCTGAAAGTCCTGGAGGCGTGGGTTGATACAGCCTTGGATTTCTCAAGGGCTGTTTTCCATGTCAGCTTGAATAAAGGCACTCCTCCCCCTCCCAGCTGCCTGGAGGTGTGGACTGATAGGAGCCTGTTGTAAAGGATTTGGTTATGTGCACACCTGACCAAAGGGACCCCTTTATGGCTGCCCTCAGTTCTGAGGTGAGACCCCTGGAGGCATTGGTGAAAAGTGTGATTCACTCCAAGGCTCCTTGGAGTTCCAGGGTCAGAACTGATTCCGTTGATCTCTGCTCCCTCTTACTAATGCCTAGTTCTAAAGGCTAACAACAGTGACAGAGCAGCCTCATCTCTACCATCTTGCTTCAGTCTCTAAGGACAAATCCATAATCCTGAGAGGCTTTTGGCACAGGTGCAGTTTCAAGGAGAGGCAGGGCTTGCTATGGCCACCTCCACAGGAAGCTTAGAGCTAATCAGCAAGTATGATTTTTGGAGGCAAGCCTGAGCCGTAGTGATGGTTTGGGTCACCTTGGCTGCTTCTGTTTTTCAGTGTTTATTTATTTATATTATTGGATTTGTATCCCACCCTCCCTGTATAGCAGGCTCAGGGTGGGTTCCAGACATATACAATTAAAACCAATTCATTAATACAAACATTAATTAAACTCACTAAAATCAGTAAAACACTGAAAACATACAGTGTGCTTCAGCAGATGGTATTAATTCCAGAAGTTATCGTTTCAGGCAGCTTCTACCAATGATAAACCTGCACCTCTAGGCCCAGTCCTTTTGTAGGCAATCCTCCCGTCAGTTTTGTGTGTGCCCACACTACACTCTCTTCCTCCCACCAGTGTTCTCAGTCTCACTGCTGCTTCTGGGAGAGCGCCTTATCTCGACTCCACGGTGGGCCCTGCCTTATGAAACGGCCTGCCTCAGGAGGGCGCCCACTCTCCTGGCTTTTGCAAACTATGCAAAACTGAATTACTCAAGAGAGCTTTTCTGTGCAGGCAACAGAGTTGCACGGTACTAAATGATTCACAAAGTTACTTAGATAAGTTATTAGGGACTGTGGTCTATGCTACTGTGTTTAGCTTACTGAAACTAGGATCCTACTGAGTAATTTTTGTCTCTTTTAATGTGTCATGTTAAGACTTATGCTTTACTTCAGTTCTGTTTTTAGATTTCTGATGGTTCTACAATCCTAATCCTATTGAACTGTTGATTGTATTGACTCATTATGTGTAATCCACCTTGAGTCCAAGTGGACTATAAATGATGTAAATATTAATAAATAATAACAACTGGGTTCAGACTGCCTCTGGAGCGATTCCTATGGGGCCAGTGCAGTATAGAGGTTAGAGCATTGGGCTAGGGAATTGGAGATTGGCTGTGAGGCTTTTGCAAGCTATTTCGCGGATAAAGTCTTGACGCTCCGCCGCACCCTCCCCGCCACAGTTGAAACAGTTAGCGAATTCGAGGCCCCTTGCGCGTCTTCGAGTCTGGGTTTATAGTGTTTCGACCAGCTCAGTCTGGAAGAAGTCAACAGATTGCTCGTATCTGTACGTCCAACCACGTGCGGCCTTGACCCGTGCCCCTCCTGGCTCATTAAAGCAGGCCACGAGGGGTTTCGAGGTGCCTTGAGGGAGATTGTTAACAAGTCCCTTTCGGAAGGGCGGTTCCCCGAGGCACTCAAGGAAGCGATGGTTCACCCTCTCCTGAAAAAACCAACTCTCGACCCGGCTGAATTGGCTAACTATCGGCCGGTGTCCAATTTGCCCTATTTGGGCAAACTGATTGAGAGGGCGGTGGCGATTCAGCTACAGGGCTTTCTGGATGACGCTTCTGTCCTTGACCCATTCCAGTCCGGTTTTCGCCCGGGATATGGGACGGAGACAGTACTGGTTGCTCTGACTGATGACCTCTGTAGGCATCTGGATCGAGGCGGTGTGGCGGTGCTGATGTTGTTAGATCTATTGGCCGCATTTGATACGGTCGACCATCAGCTGCTGTCCCGCCGCCTCGCCGATGTGGGGATCCAGGGGCTCACCCTTCAATGGCTTGCCTCGTTTCTCCAAGGTCGGGGACAAAGGGTAGTGCTAGGGGAACAGCAGTCCCAGAGGCACCCGCTGGAATGTGGGGTGTCTCAGGGGGCGGTGCTTTCCCCGATGCTGTTTAACATATATATGCGCCCCCTTGCCCAGATTGCTCGGAGGTATGGGATATGGTGCCATCAATACGCAGATGATACCCAGCTCTATTTGATGTTGGGCGGCCAGTCGGACTCCAACCCAGAAGATCTGCACCAGGCTTTAAAAGCTGTGGCTGGGTGGCTCAGATGGAGCAGGCTGAAATTAAACTCGGCGACGACGGAGGTCCTGTGTTTGAGTCAGACCGGACCGGGGATAGGGCTCCCGACCTTAGACGGGGCACATCTGGTGCCAGCTTTGGAGGTTAGGAGCTTGGGAGTGCTCCTGGACCCCACCTTAACGATGGAGGTCCAGGTGGCAGCCACTGCCAGATTGGCCTTTTATCATCTTAGGCTGGTGCGGCAGTTGGTTCCTTTCCTCGACCGCAATGACCTAGCTACAGTGATCCATGCGATGGTCACCTCGAGGTTAGACTACTGTAACACACTCTCTACATGGGGCTGCCTCTGTCGCAAATCTGGAAGCTGCAGCTGGTGCAGAATGCTGCGGCCAGGCTGTTGGTGGGAGCCCCTAGGTGGGAGCACACCCGACCTGCAATGTTCC